ACAACATATACTAGAAATAAAAGGTGAAGCAAACAAGAGGCTCAACATTATTAAAACTCTTTCAAACTACCATTGGGGTGCAGATGAGAACTCCCTGCTTAAGATATATAGGTCTATCATCCGCTCCAAACTGGATTATGGTTGTTACATATATATGTCTGCCTCTAAAACACACCTTAACCTTTTAAATTCGATACATCATACAGCCTTACGAATTTGTTTAGGAGCCTTTCGATCTAGTCCCGTAGAAAGTCTATATTGCGAAGCCAATGAGCCCCCACTTTGGATTAGACGTGAACAATTATTACTTTCCTATGCTGCCTCCGTTTCATCCAATACCTCCAATCCAGTTTATCCTCTTCTTACTTCATCAACGAACAACCAGCATTACTATTCTAAATCACCATCAATAAAACCCTTGCCACTAATTCTAACACAATTACTTAATAACATCTCTCTATCAGAAACAATCCCACGACCCCTACCTCCATATCCTCCTTGGTCTATAATCATGCCTCTGTTTAACACATCGCTTACAAGATTCGATAAACTTACAACACCCAGGGAACTCATTAAAAAATATTTTAAAGAAATTATATTTACAAACAAATACGACACAGTACACTACACTGACGCCTCAAAGAATGATACAGGAGTAGGTTGTTCTGTTACCACGTCAAATAACCTTATCACATCATCTTGTATCCCCTCGTTTTGTAGCGTTCATACTGGCGAACTATTTAGCATATTTCAAGCTCTCAAATCCATTTCTTCTCCAAATAAACAAGTGGCAATATGCACAGACTCACTAGCCTCACTACAATCTATCCAAAATATATTCACTGATCATCCTATTGTCCAAAAGATCCTTGATTGTTACCAACTAATCGCTTCCCAAAAAATAACAGTTACATTGATCTGGCTACCATCCCATATTGGTATTACAGGCAACGAACTTGCAGATAGCCATGCAAAACTTGCCTCAGCATCAGCTGATAATACGGTTAATATACAAATTAGTAAAGATTTAAAGTCTCACATTAAGAAACGAGCAAGAACCCGATGGCAACAACACTGGGACAACAATAACTCAGCATTACATCAAATCCAACAGTTAGTCAATAGCCCCCTTGATTTGACCTCTGCCGGTATGTCCAGACGAGACGCTATTGTAACACGAAGACTTCGAATAGGACATACAAGATTAACACATGGATACCTGATGTCATCCAGCAACCGACCCACTTGTGAGACCTGTCAATCACATCTAACAGTTAACCATATTCTCACCGAATGTCATCAGTATTCAGCAAAAAGACTATTTTATTGCCTTAAAAGTGATCTAAAAGACATACTCAATAACTTGGATCAAATAACCTCAAGTCTTAAATACCTCAAAGACGTTCAATTATTTTATAAAATATAATTTTGATTGTGTTGTGGTAGTGTGTACTCTATGACATATTTTTGTAAATTATTGTAACAGTTTTACATTTGTAACCGTTTTGTAACCGTTTTCGTGTAAGTGGCCTTTGTTGCCGAGCACGTAAATTTTCAATTAAAAAAAAAATTATAATTTGGCTTTTTCCAGTAACTTTAAAGGTCTATTCTCATTAGACGTGCCAGGCCCGTGCTCGTCACCTGACCGGCACATACCATGCTTTTGGTGAATATTCACACTATTCGCGCTCACAGCATGCTTTCAGCGGTATTTTGCACAGGCAGTCGAATTTATAGACGTTTCGGGGGGTAGTTGTAATGTTTTCCACGGCAACTTTAGTAAAAATTGCATTAACTTTGAATGCCGAAGAAGAAGAGAATATGAGAGATAAAGTTAAAAAAATAAGGTTTTGCATACATCTGATGATTAAGAACAGAAAAATAGAAGGAGAATACTATACCTTTTATAAAGAACTCATGGATGATGGGTCAAAATTTTATATATATATATATATATATATATATATATATATATATATATATATATAATATATATATATATATATATATATATATATATATATATATATATATTATAGAATGTTAATTTCCGAATTTCATAATCTTTTAATACATATTGAAGATATTATTAGCAAAAAAAAATTTCAAGTTTCGTGAAGCGATTACTCCGATTGAAAAGTTGTCAGTTTTCTTAAGGTAAGTAGTCCGTTTTCTGTTTATTTTGCAGTAGGTATTAAAATAGTCACTTTTTTAATTATTGAAAAGTTTATTTTAAAACTAAATTAACATTAAATGTCATGAAGTGACGGAAAATTGTCACTGCCTCCAAGATCAGCAGATAGTGGAGAAATTATGGGAGTAGAGACTCTGGTGTTGATGATTGATGTTGGGACGACGATTCTATGTGCGGCATGGGATTTTGCGGAAAAATCATTGAGCTTCCATCTCTTTCGTAAGAGAATGAATTCCTTTCAAAGGTTGGTTGATGTACTGATCTATACAGATTGGTGTATGGTGCGGCAAACTGTCGTGATGTGGGCGGTAGTTGCATCATATATGTATGTGGTAGTGGAGGAACTTCTGAGGTGTAAGTATGTTGTTTCGATTATGTTTGAACGTCATTTATTATTGGTTGTGATTGTTGTTGTGGTGAATATAGATATTTCGTTTCCATTTCATGCACAACCATAAAAATCGTTTGTTTAATTAAATGTTTATCTACGTTTGAAAACTTTCGAACCGTATGTTTAATACTGTCAAAAAAAAGATCTAATTCATCTGGTAGGTCAACGTTTTTTCTTTTTCTCTTCGTCCAAAAGAAAAGACATTAATATTTCAATTGCTGACTGTGGCGGATCTTTATTTTTAAATTTAGTGTTTTTCACAAATGGCTTCAGTTGCTTTTGGGACTTCTTGGCTTCTACTGTCTTAGTAGAGTCAGACTGAGTTTGAGAATCATCAGAGGCCTCAATGACTTCGTCTATTACTTTTTCTCTTGTAAATTCGCCATCATCTTCATCACCAGAATCTTCTACTTCTTGACTGACAGGCAAGGACGAGATTCTTTCTTTATCTTTCATGTGCGGCTTTAAAAGCTGAACTAATTCACCATACTTGTATTTGATGTCAGTTGCAGATTGACCGGTTCTGGTTTTGTGCTTTGCTAAAAATTTCCTACACTGGGCTTTTATTGCCTCCCATCTGTATTTACAGTCAGCCGGATCTGCGAACAAGTACATACCGTTATTGATACATTTTACGCAAAACATTAAATGTACAAAAAATCAGTTAAAACTTAATACGTATTTTTTTAGATATCTTGCAACTGGGGACTCGTACCAAACTATATCATTCAGTTACCGTCTAGGACACTCCACTGTGCACGCAATTGTACAAGAAGTTTGTAGTGCTATTATAGAAAAATTATTGAAGACGTGTATGCCAATACCAGCAGAATGCGATTGGGAACAAATTGCCAAAAAATTTTGGTTGTCGTGGAATTTCCCCAACGCATTAGGAGCCCTAGATGGAAAGCACATCGAAATTATAGCACCAGTCAATAGTGGTTCCAGCCACTTTAACTACAAAAAGACTTTTTTTGTAGTTCTACTTGCTCTAGTAGATGCCGATTATAGATTTATAAGTGTTGATGTCGGGTCTTATGGTAAAAATAGTGACGGCGGCATATTTTCTAGCTCAAATTTAGAACAATCGTTACAAAATGGACAACTTAATATACCTCCACCTACCTTTCTTACCGATTCTGACATAAAAGTCTCATATGTTATTTTAGGGGACTCTGCTTTTTCATTAAAAGAAAATCTTGTTTTACTAAAAAAGTAGTGTTTTACTTACCTATTTTAATTTTTTCTCCAATATCCCTCCATACCTGAGACTTATGTGCTGCACCTGTATACAGTCGATTTATAAAATCGTATAATTCACTTCTCTCACGAACTAATTCTATTAAAAATTCATCAGTATGATGTGAAAATAATTTTGGTCGCATCATTTTGCCTGTCGAAACTCTTCTGACGTATTCACACTACGTAGGACTGTGCAAGGCATGTGCCAAGCATGGGCTAGGAAAATATTGTTTGAAAAGATTGTCCGATGCCGGGCACGGACCGTTCCCACACCGAGCACTTGTAGTGAGAACGGACAATCGCTAAACCCATTTAAATAACGTTAAAGTAATTTTGCAGGTCTCGAGCAGGGCACAAGCCGTGCACATGCCTGGCACTATAGTGAGAATAGGATTCTTTTACTCTGCTGGATTGAGCCATAGCGTTAGATTCAAGTATAATAGCCATTTAAATAGTTCTGGATTTTAGTGCCGCCAGGCGGCTTGATGTATCGTCTAATCTATCGATCAATCTAGTAATAATGTTTTCTAGTTTATTTATACTTGTGTGCATTTCAGTATGATTAGATATTATTTGAAACTTTATCACGAATTTTGGATTTAATTAGAAAATTAATGGGAATAAACTCTTTAAGAAAAATCAAACATTACGTTGCAAATAATATCCTTCTGGTGTTTTGAGACCTTTGAATTACAACTTGTAAAACTAAAAAAAAATATATTGTTTTTATTGTTTTAAATCTGTGTCAATAGTTTCACTTACCTTTGCCAATAAGAGAGGTGTTGCAAACAATTATCTAGTTTTTTGTACTTAAAGTGCTTAACCAAAGTACTTAAGTACTTACTTCAAGTACTTTCAGTGATCAGTATCACAGTTATTATGAAATGTATTTATATAAAAGTATTATCTAATTTTTACATTAATCTACATAAAATAAATCAATGTAAAACTTAAAAAAATATATTTACTTCCATCTACATACAAAGTTTTGTAGTAGACACGTCAAATTCACATATAAGTGTAAACGTAGAAATACCTAAACTGACCGAGATCACAACACCTGTTCAATAATCTATTAGGTTCAAGATATTTCTAGATAAAAATATTTATTGATTATTTGCTTTTAACTAATTTATCCTTCTTGAAAATTATTCTACAATTTGTATATTTTAGGACGAAAATACAACAAATATGGTGACTATGTACATTGGTGGACCAACAAAACTATAGAAACTTTTGAAAACCTAACAGATTGTTTTATTAAACAATATGACAACTTTACTATAGAAGGCATCGAAAAACATGTAAGTTTTATTTCATTTTCAAACCTGCGTTCAAAAACCTCAATAATTATTCTTTTTTGGGGATTGTGAAATATAGGAGATTGTGATTATGGAAATGTGCGGACGCTATAGACGCGAAGTAAAAATCTTTATATAAATAATCACTACGAGATATCGAAGAAATAAATAACTGAAATGAAAGTAGGATATTCTGTAGATAGGTCAGTAAAAGGTCACGAGAGATACCAACCTAGAATAACATCACGTAAAAAAAATGACGTAAACACAGTGTAAAAAAACAAACAAAGAGAAAATACTAATCCGATGCAGAGAACACTTATTAAGTCAGCAAGTGATGCAGAACGCGAGAAAAAGCTCATACATGTAGATATATAAAATAAAATAGTAAAATAAAACTACAAAATCAAGCAATAAATAATCTATCAAACAATAAGTCACCCAACAATGACAATCGGCCAGCAGAACTATTTAAGAAGGGTAGATAAAAACTGAATAGATATCTACATAATCTGATTACCTGTTTGTGGATAGAGAAAAGCTTCCCGGCGACTGGAATACTAGCATAATTTATACCATACATAAGAAAGCTGGCATCCTCGAATGCTTCAAGTATAGAGGGAATGATGAACATTATTTTCTCTCTGTAGTTCCATCCCTACTTGTGGAGTATTGGGCGCTTATGCGTTTCTTGGCCAAAAGTGAGTCAACCGCAAATTCGATATTTGACTGTTTCAATAGGTTACATATGATGCCTGTTGGATCGTCAGTTACTTTTCTCATTACCCAATTTATCATAATAAGTAATATATATATATATATATATATATATATATATATATATATATATATATATATATATATAGTCCCAAGATTCCTAAGAGGAACATAGGGCTTCCACAAAGTGTCTCCAGCGAACTCTATTTCTGGCTAGTGCTTTGATTTCAAGCCAGGATTTTCCCATTTTTCTCCCTTCGTCCAGTACTGTCCTTCTCCAAGTTCCCTTAGGTCTGCCTACTTTCCGTCGGCCTTGGGGATTCCAATCCAGCGCTGTCCTGGCAATGTCATTTGGCGGTCTACGGAGTGTGTGGCCCAGCCATCTCCATTTTCTTCGCCTTATTTGCTTTATGACATTTTCTTGGTTGCTTTGGTTCCATAAATTTTCATTGGAGATTCGGTTAGGCCAAAATATACGAAGGATTTTTCGTAACGCTCTATTGATGAAAACTTGTAATTGGTGTACTATGGGTGCTGATATCTTCCACGTTTCGCAGCCATACAGTAATACAGCTTTTACATTTGTGTTGAAGATTTTTAATTTCGTTTTAGTTGGGTAAATCCTGGATTTCCATATGTTGTTAAGCATGTTGTAGGCGTTGCGAGCCTTATTTATTCTTTCATGTACATCACGCTCTGTACCCCCATTACAGTCAATTATGCTGCCCAGATATACAAATTCCGCTACTCTCTCAATTTTCTGGTCGTTGACCATAATAGGTTGGTTGTTTCTGGTACCAAATCGCATTTCTTTGGTTTTGTTGATGTTTATTTCTAGACCAACCTTCTTTGATTCTTCTTGTACTTTGTTTACTTGGAGTTGCATGTCCTGTTTTGTATGTGCTAGGAGGCATATATCATCAGCGTAATCTAGGTCTTCCAGTCTGTTTGTTAATCCCCAGTAAATTCCTTTATTAAAGTTTACCTTTGTTATTACGGAGTCCAGTACAATGTTAAATAGTATGGGGGATAAAACACAGCCCTGCTTTACTCCGTTTAGCACAGCTATTGGGTCATATGTTATGCCGTTGTGTAGGATTTTGCTTTCTGTGTCCCTGTAGAGTTCTTTGATGAGATTTACTATTTTTTCTGGTATTCCTATTTCATGCAGTGCTTTCCATATGGCCGTATGTGTGAGCGTGTCAAAAGCTCTCTTGAAGTCCACAAAGCATACAAAGAGAGGAGAGTTGAATTCCTGTGACTGTTCTACAATTATTCTTAGTGTGTTAATTTGGTCCACGCATGATCTGTTTGGTCTGAAACCGGCTTGTTCCTTCCTCAACATTGGTTCTACACTGTTTGTTAGTCGGTTGTTTATAATTATTGCTGTTAATTTATTTATAGTATTCAGAAGTGTGATTCCTCTCCAGTTTTCGCAATATCTTCTGTCACCCTTTTTTGGTATCTTTATTATTAATCCCGTTTTCCATTCTTTGGGGAACTTTTCCTCTCTCCAAGCCCTTTTTAAGAGTGGTTGGATTAGCTCTGCCACTGTACCTGGGCAAGCTTTTAACAACTCTGGTGGAATATTGTCAGGGCCGGCTGCTTTGTGTGCTTTCAGTTTTTCTAGCTATTTCTTGAGTTGTTGGTTCGTTGGTGTTAATTCTCAGTTGGATATTGGGTATTAGGTTTTCTGCGTCTTCTGGTGGTGTTGGGACTGCACTTAGAGATTCGCTAAAATGACAAGATGAATAGGTGACCCAAGTGAAAGTTTTATGTTTTTCGTACAAGCTTAATATTTAACATTGTGGCCCAACTGATTTTTTTTATAAGAAAAGATTTTTTTGTTAATCTCTTGCTCCTTCGACTTATATATTGTATAAGGTTCCAGGAATGTTTGTCTAAGTGAATAGAATATTAGTGTTTAATAAAAAAACTGGTTTCATTTTTAGCTCAATTCTTTAGTTGTCGATATTTCAAAACACCAATTTTACACTTAGACCATTATGCTTCTGAGCGACTCCATTTATAACCAATATTTTATGACACTCTAATGAAATAATATAGACAGAGATAATTTGTATATGTTTATTTGTTCTATCGAAAGAAAATTTATGGTATGGATTTATTATATGCTTTTTCTTCTGGCATTTTTTAATTCCATTTATTTTTACAAAAAAAAAACTTAGATATAATATAGTTTGTTTTTTCCCATATCTTTGAAAAAAATTGTTTTTGTAATGCCACAACGTATTTAGCTTAAGTGAGATCGCCCACCAAAGTGGCGTGGCAAGTAGCACGTAGCAAGTAGCACGCGTCTAGCATGTTTCTTAAAATGTAACCAATGAAAACGAATGATTAGAATGAATGACGTCACTGTCATTTTGGTGTGCGCTGAATCATTCGTTTTCATTGGTTATATTTTAAGAAACATGCTAGACGCGTGCTACTTGCCACGCCACTTTGGTGGGCGCTCTCACTAACAGATACATTTTTAATAGCAAAATTTATGTTTTTATGTTATTAATATTTTTTATAGATAAATGGTAAACAGACTTTGGGAGAAAACATAGCAGACAATGGTGGTCTAAATGAAGCAATTGGTGCTTATAAAAGATATGTAGCCAAACACGGCGAAGAACCAAAACTTCCAGGTTTCGAAAATTATACCAACTTTCAGCTGTTTTTTATTGCTTATGCAAATGTAAGTTTTTGTTATTCGAAAAGTATAAATGACTATCTTAAATTATATTATTTAGAAAAATCTTAAAGGTAGTAATACCTTTATTAGACGAGGAAATGAAGCATTAAAAAGCACTAAACCTACCAATTATCCGCAGCAAGATAAATCGTTGTGCAAATTTTTGCATTTTTTGCTTAGAAAATATCGACAGGAATGAGTTCAATTTTGTTACTTGGTTGTTTTCGAGGCCGCTGAATACGAAAATTATAACGACGATAGTCATTGAGCTAGCTGGTACCCAGGATGGGTCTCGTTTTCCGGAGTATGTTAATTTCATTTTTAATCAGTCGACAGTCATTACTCGGGTAGTTTTAGAGATCACTGAACACGAATATAATAACTACAATGATCTTCGAGCTACCTGGTGATCAGGGTGGACATCATCTCCTGGAGTTTTAAGTTATTTCCATTTGAAATAAGTCTAAAGTCATTACTCTGATGTTTTCGAGATCGCTGAATACTAATATTATAATGGCTATGGTTCTCGAGCTACCTTGTTTGGGAGTTTTATGTTATTTTTATTATAAATAAGTCAAAAGTTATTACTCGAATGTTGTTGGGGTCGTTAAAAACGAATATTACAACGGCTTTGTCTCAAAGATATCTGGTGCCAAGAGTAACCTCGTCTCCTAGAGTTTATGTCAATAAAAATCCAAAAGAAAAATAAAAAAGAGGTACACGCTGGACAACAGATACCTTGTAGATCATCGTCGTCGTAATATTCGTGATCAGCAACCCCAAAACACACGAATAATGACTTTTGGCTGATTTCAAATACAAATAACATAAAACTCTAAGAGGCGAGGTCAACACTGGGCTCTAGGTAGTAATATTCGTGTTCATCGACCTCGAAAACCCCCGAGGGGTTTTGACTGATTTCGAATGATAATAACATAAGACTTCAGAAGACGAGGTTCATTCTATGCACCAAGTAGCTCGAGGATCATCGCCGTCATAATATTCGTGTTCCGCAACTGCGGAAACCTTTTAAGTAATGACCTTCGACTGATTTCGAATGACAATAACATAAAACTCCAAGAGACGAGGTCCATCCTGAACAACAGGTAACTCTAGCACCATCGTGATTATCATATTTGTATTAGCGGCTTCGAAAACTCATGAGTTATGACTGTCGTCTAATTTAGAATAGAATTAACATACTCCAGGAGATGAGGTACAACCTGTGCACCAGGAAACTCGAGAGCCATTGTCATTATCATATTTGTGGTCATCGACCTCGATAATTCCTTGAGTAACAAAATTAATTACTATCGATAGTTTCTTAGTCGCAAATTTTACATTTTCTCTGCACTTTGGAAATGCATTTTTCTTATGTACAAAACGCAATTTTCATTTTACCAGAATGAATTTTGTTCACAAACTTTGCTGGCACTTTCCCGAATCGAATGCAAAATGTTTCACACCGGTTCATCTTGCTGAGAAAAATTGGTAGGTTTAGTGTTTCGTTTTCTCGCCTATATTGATAAATAGTATTTATAACACTGATGAAAAATTCCATTGATGCCTTATATTTGTAGTGTTAATTGGTATCATCTTCGCATTTACAATATTGGTAAATTATTTACAGGAAGGGTTAAGGGCTATCACATTTACTATTAGTCTATGAGTCTTAGACGAAACGATTATATTGCTTTTTGTATACTTTATATAGCCACTGTTTTTTTTTCTATGTACAAATTTATTTGCCAAAAATTTAATGTAACTTTCCTGTTGTTCCTGTATTTCGTGCAAAAATTTTAATTTTGTAGTGTTATTTCGGTTCTCAATTGAATCGATATCGAGTTATCTAATTTTCATACCACTTTGAATTTCTATTTCATAAAGAACATTTGTTTAAATAATTTAATGATAATATCTTAAAATCAATAATTGATTATATTATAATTAAACCAGCATTTATAAAAAAATTAAGACTTTGAATTTACTAAAGAATACCTTTTGGTAGCAACAACTACTCGTTAAGATCAAGAAATATAAAATTTAATTATATATTTCATAGATAGTACCAAAATATACAGACTTTATATTGAATATGATTAGATCAAAAACGTAGTCAAGATAATTAACGAACCTTAGAAAAACTCTCTACACATATGAAAAAATGCATTTAGAAGGCAACGTCTGAAGAAATTGACGTACACCACAATAAAAGATATAAATATTGCTGATTGGATACGCAAATAGAATAAAAATTAACAATAAGAAAGGTAAATACCATACATATTTTATATAAAATGGTTTTGAGAGCAACATATATATATATATATATATATATATATATATATATATATATATAATATATATATATATATATATATATAAACATAAGAGTTCACAGCCCCAACAAATGTCACAACAAATAACAGTAAGTTAATGTAATAAAAAAATATCTATTAGGAAATAAAAAAATTTTAAGGTGTACCAAAACATTAAGACAAAAAAGAAAGAAATAAAGAATAACAAAAAGAAAAAGATTTTAGAGATTAGCTAAGAGGTGATGACGAATTTACAATACAAATATAATAAATAGGCTTTTTACCTATTTGAAATGGACTCACACACAGGAAATACATTCATGATTTTACAAATATAATAAATAATACAAGGTTTACAATCAAAAAACAAAAAATCAATGATTCATTTTCACCTGCTTTATTAAAAAATGGGAACAAAAAACTTTATCAGTGTTCCTGACTGATCCGCCTCAATCAGAAAAAACTAGGATCATACTTAACCTAAAGAAGAGTTTTTTACATTTTTGTTTGCACATATTAAAATTATTTTGAATTTAATTAAATTGAATTAAACTAATCATTAAATCAAGCATAAATATAAGATTTTAAATACATAATATCTATAATGTATCCTTCATTGATCGAAGATATGTGCAAAAAACTGGAAGCATTTGAGATGTGGCTATATCGGAGAATACTTAAGATCCCGTGGACTGACTCGAGTCACAAATGAGGAGGTCCTTAGAAGAATAAATAAGAACCGAGAGGTACTGACCACCATTAAATCTCGAAAGTTACAATTCTTCGGACATATTATGCGAAATGAATTCAGATATGATCTCCTTCAAGCCATCCTGCAAGGAAAAATATTTGGAAAGCAAGGTCCAGGAAGAAGAAGAACATTTTGGTTAAAGAACCTCAGAATCTGGTTTAATACAACATCTGTGCAGCTTTTCCGCGCTGCTGCAGATAAGATAAAGATTGCCATGATGATCGCCAACATTCGTAACGGATAGGCACATCAAGAAGAAGAACATCCTTCATTGACTCCATTAGAAGGTGGGGAGGGCAGTGAAAACTAAGCTGCTACACCATTTTTCACCAGGCAGCTTATAATTAATTGATTACGGTGTACAAGTGAATATACAGGGTATAACAAAAAGGTAAGTCATAAATTAAATCACTTAATTTGGGACCAAAAATAGTTCGATTGAACCTAACTTATCTTGAAGTTAGCTAACTTGAAGTTAGAAAACGAAAATCGATTTTTTTCAATATATTGAAAACTGTTAGAGACTTTATATTGAAAATCGACATGTGGTTCTCTTATGACAGGAATATCTTTAACATAACAGTCAAATTTGTTATCTTAAACCTCCAACCCCCCCCCCCCCACAATGTTTGTATACGTTTCAATTAATACGTTCAGCTCCGTCCCTTTTTTTAAGGGAAAACAGTGGACCACTGAGATGTATTCGTGTAAACTAATTAATTTTTAATGTATACCTTAAAAGTCATTTTAACAAATATGGGTACAAAAAAATTTATTTGGCCACAAAAAAAACCGCTTGAATCGCGTTGGTGGCCAAAGAGCAGAAAATGTGTCGGTTCAACTTAAAAAATAATATTAACTTGATTGAGAAAAAATATAATTATGAAGCTAGATAACTAACATAAGTAATTATTAAATGGCAAAATCACGAAAACAAACTAATTATAAAATTTTCAATTTCTTCATGAAAAAGTCTAAAACAATTTTCTAAGCACAATCCCGGATGTTCAGGGCACTCCGCACAATAAAACAATGAGTCATTTCTTTCTTTTATTAGTTTGCCAGCAATATTTACACCGTCGTCATCTTGTAATACCATTAGCTGATTTAGGGCAATGGGATGATAAATGAAACGTCAATTTGTTCTTCACTTGAAGAATTTTGGGTTTGGTCCCAAAAAACTATCGAAAGTCGTACAATGACATTTTTGTATTAGAATTATCCTAGAAATAGTATGGTTGATTAGCATAATTTGAAAAATCTGTATGCCTATTTTTTTATACCAACCACCTCATAGTTTTGTGTTCGTAACTATAATAATTTAACATCTGGTCGCCTAAATCAATGCCATCTTTGTTTTTGTTATTTTCAGCGACTAAACGGGGCTTTTCTTTATCAATTCCTTTCCTATATATCGTTGGAACCATTTAATGACCAAATTCGGAAGAGATCGTTAAAGTATCTCACTGATCTTTTCATTAACATACACACATATCCCTTTATTATTGAAAGCACTCACCAGTTAATTTTGTTTTAATTTTCGAGAAACAACTTCGCGTGGATTTTCCGCTCTTCAGTTTTTTACACGATGGAACACTATTATAAAAATTATTCATAGGTATATAAGGAGTCACCAACATTTAGTTTCGAATCCATCAAATTTAACACTACTTTTTCCGTATGATTACGTCCTCCAACTACTCACTAGCTCCACTATAAACTAATATGCGTTGGATCATCCCGCTACATTCTGCCAAAGTATACAGTTTTACACCATATTTGTGTCGTTTGCCCTTGAGAAATTGTCGAAACTAAGTATTCCTCTCCATAAAATCATAGATTCGTCCAGGGCTAATTTTCTTTCTGGATAATAAAGATTTTCCATTTTATTATAAAAAAATTTAACAATGGAGATATCTTGACAAGTCCGGACT